ATTACCCAATAGTGTTGATTAGGGAAGTTATTTATTAGACAATGAGTGGCTTCTCAAAATTGCAATACAAATGGCCCGTTTCTTTTTTTGAGTGTGCAATTTGTATTTTCGTATTGAGTAAATTACATAGACACCCTTTAAAATTTACACTTAATACAGATTCTCTCCCCCCTCACGTTCTAAAAATTGCAATCCCTTATTTGTCATTTAAAGTCACATTACAAATTACCCCTACGTTAGTTTTTTTTTTTTTAAAACAGACCCCTATGTTAGTTGACTGTTAAATCAGCAGAAGATTTTTGATAATATTATATTACCCTCTTTCTAAATTCCAATTTTATCCTTTTTTTTATTCCCCTCTCTGATTGTTTTGTTTTTTTTATACATACAATCAATCATCATTCTCTCCTTGCTTCACATCAGCACCATGCGTTACCACATCACCACCTAACAAACCAAAGCCGGCTTAGGCTTTCATGTTTAGAGAAAATTACTCCTTTAAATCGGTTAATCAAACATGTAATGTGCACAAGACTTTTGATGAAATAATCCAGTGCAAAACAACGAATGCAAAATCCCAAAAACAAATGGCAAAATCAACAACCAGTCAACACACCCACAAGAAGCAACAAGAAACAAAAGAGCACCAAAATTTCAACATAACACGTACTAATAATTATGAAATAAATAACCATAATCATGAACTTGTCATTTTCTTTTCTACATACAACACAACCAGTATAACACATAATACACCAACACCACACCAAACCCAATCACACAACAATCCTATCCTCAATCTCTCAAGAAACCCACCAAACCCAATCACATAATAAATCGGTCAATCGCACAAACCCTCCAATCTCAAATGGTTCGTCGGTGACAGAGAGCCTCGCCATCTCATTTATGGAGGCCGGCACAGTGGTGTGGTGAAGATTTGGGTAGTGATTTGGTGGTCATGGGTTCGGCGGTTGCGGCATAGACATTCATAGATGTGAAAGATGGAGGTGGTGGGTTATGATGGATGGTCTGAGACAGAGTGACATTAAGAAATGAAATTATAAATTATGAATCACATTTATTTTGAGTGGAATACACATTATAAATTTATAAAATACATTTAACATTAGGGATTATTTTTGAGATAAAATTCCATGGTAGATAGAATTCTCTATATACATATATACAATGAAGAGTAAGAAACGAAATTCAGTTTCCAATATAATTTAGGATTTGAAATATGGAAAGCCAACCAAAATTAGAAGCTTAAGAAATCAAATCGTGTTAGATAATGTCTCAATGGGACCACATAATTAAATATGGTGTTATCATTTATAAGAAGCCTACAATTTAAGTGATTCAATTTAGTTAATAGGCTTAAGGGTATATGTGTTATGGATCTAATGTGTAGATACTAGTTGTATAATTTCTATTTCTATGAGGGGCAGAAATAGAAATTAAAACATATTGGTTAAAGTTGGTTTTCATTCCTTTTGAACTTCCACAACCTTTCAGTTTTGAAAACCAATTACAACCTTTAAAAGGTTGTGGTCCCTATTCCTTCCCAAGTGGAAAAATAAGAGCACTACCATTTTTCTTTCTAAATCCTCTCAAGGAGAAACATAAGACACCAAAGGGGAAAGGATTAGAAGGCAATAACATAATCAATAACAAAGAGTTCATTGATAATCACGCTTCCGTTTAACCGTTTATCAATGGATTCAGGTATGTCATTTTGTCTTGATTTCTTGATAATACACATGATAAATAATCCAAAGTGTAAGGTTTATGTTCTGAAATTTATGTTGAGAATTGGTATCAGAGCATGCATATCATGTGTCTTATCAGAATTGATATGCTTTATTCATTCTATTTAGTTTCCTGGAATCAGATTCTGAATTTTCGTATCTTCTATGGTTTGATCAAGCTAGTCCTTGTTTTGTTCTGTGAAAATGGCAATCTATTTTCTGGCATTGTAAAATGATTCGGTTTTTTTTTTTTTTTTCTCTCTCAAATGGATGAACATCATGTATTTATATATATATAGATATATCTTGCGATTTGATCGGTTTAATTTTGAACATTATAAAAAAAAAAAAAACTATTTATTTTTTGGACCCGTCAATTCTATTTATATGTGTATATATATAATTGGAATTGCTGCATATTATATAACATATACGGGTCACAAATTTAAAAATCTTTAAATTTAATGTAATTTCATACAACGTCTACAGAAATTTAATTTTCTAACACTCTCAATATAAATCAATTCAAACAAGATGTCACAAAAGTGATCTCTCTTGTCTAGATTGTTTTATATGGAATGTTTTGAAGTTCATGTCTGTGTATCTCATGCGGGTATTTATCGGTCCAAAGACATGATTAAGACTTGGCAGAATTACACACACATTTTTGTGGTGATAAACATGTACCAATTGTCAAGAAAACCTAATGTGAATAATAAATCCATCAAAAGATAGATTTGTTATTTGACATAACTTATTGTCAATGTTTGATCATTACAACAAGAATACCACTCACAGTTAATATCACTACCCAAAGGCTTGGTATTAATGTTGCTGAGGCGAGGCCTTATAAACCTCATGAACGAAAATTGGACTCTAAAACCATTAGCAGCTACTTTATTGGCTATGCCGAACGATCACGGGGTTACAAGTTTTATGATCCCACAAATAGGTCAATATTTGAGACGGGAATTGCAACATTTTTTGAGGATGTTGAGTTTGGGGGGAGAAATCCAGTTAGAGACATTGTCTTTGAGGAGGAAGCAGGAGTAATACCAGTTCTTGAATTCTCTTGCAAAAATGTTCAAGGATGAACCCTCTCTCTAAAGTCGGCTCAATTTCTCTCTAGAGTGTATATTTTAGATTTTGAGCTCATCCTATGACCTTAAGTGTGTTTAGCACATATATATACTCGATGATTAGCTTGAGTTAATCAAACTCAATTATGACTAACTAATTGTATTTAATTTAATCGATTCAATCTAGTTATTTTGATCCGAATCAATTTTTGATTAAATCTCACCGTAGGCTCTAAAAATCATGCTAATTGCAAAAATACGGTCAATTCCATTTTCTGCTGCCTCTACGACCTTCAATTTAATCTTATAGCAGAAAATCAAATAAATTTTCCTACGGTGAACAGATAGAAATTCAAAAAAGCATATAATCATATAATTGGCATTCAAAATCATGTTAGGCACATAATCACAATCATAATTAAGATTAATTAACATAACACAGAACATGGTTATCACAAAAGCTCCAAAAGAAAACCCTAATACTCAAGAAGAAGATTTGAAAGCCGTATCCTAAATTCTGACTCAAATGTAGCTTTATAGCAAACGGGGCCACAGCGGTCGCTCGAGCGACAAGACTGATATGCTTGAATTACTTAAGTGTCTTCGCTCGAGCGATGAAAAGTTCGTTCGAGCATAAAAATCTCAACTCCGAATACTTTTGTAGGTGAGTGAAACTTTCGAAAGGATTTCATCTTCGCTTGAGCGCACAATCGGCTGCTCAAGCGGTCAAACAATTTCTACTGCAATTTTGCTTTTTGCTTCCGGGACGCTGCCCCCTAAACCCCTGCGAGCTGACTGGCAGCTCGATCCCCAATATAGTCAGCGAAGTGGCAAACATGATAGGATTAAGATCACAAACTCTTCTGCATAAGCACAATTCGGTTTATATTCGCAACTAAATACTCATAGCCTCACTGAAATAAAAGATCAAATAAAATTACAACTGAAAAGAGTTTTGTCAAACGGGATTGTCAAAAACAAAAACTTAACACAAATCTATGTAACAAAATAGAAATCACAATTCACGGGCCCAAATCTTTAACAAAATACAAGCTCACCAAGTCTTTATTGAAGTACTCGATACAGTACAAAAAAGAAAAAAAAAGAAAAAGAAAAAGAAAAGTTGTTAAGTGTTAGATACATTGGTCGGTTTTGGTGCGATTCGATTTTAAAAAGTTGAACAATGTTACTGAATCTGCAGATAGTGTTTTTCTCAAACCAAAACCAAATAGAGTATTCAATGAAAAAACCGATTAATTAAAATCAGCCAGTTCAATCCGGTTTTAATCGGTTAAATTGGCTCATCTAGTTTTGTCCTCGCAATAGAATTTCAAAAAGAGGCCTCATATGAGCAGCCAGAGTTGAAACCAAGACTAATCTTTGTGATTGATTCCTAGCCCAACTATATTCGAAATAAAGCAGGGCTCATCTAATTTGGCAGCCCAATTCATGGCAAAGAGTATCATGCATTCCATCCACACCTTTTTTGTATAGATAAAAATACAATATAAGAACACTGTTATTTTTCTTTCTAAATCCTCTCAAGAAGAAACATAAGGCACCAAAGGGGAAAGGATTAGAAGGCAATAACATAATCAATAATAAAGAGTTCATTGATAATCACGCTTCCGTTTAACCGTTCATCAATGGATTCAGGTATGTCATTTTGTCTTGATTTCTTGATAATACACATGGTAAATGATCCAAAGTGTAAGGTTTATGTTCTGAAATTTATGTTGACAAATCGAAGTCCAATATTACTTAGGCTTTCTAAATACTAGAACTCAACCAAAAATTAAACTCTTCTGACTAGTACTATAAAATAAGGTCACTCACCCCATACCTTCATAGTCACCATTCTAAAACTCTCTCTCTTTCAAGCTTCATCATGGAAACAATATCAAGAAACTATGACATTGAAACATATGCGACACCACAGATCAACCCACTACAGATCAACCCACTACCTCTAGTTCGAGTTCCAACTGCAGCGCTCATCAAAATTTATGTCCACAATCTAGTTAAACTACAGCTCTGAACTCGTCAAGGCAATGTCGAATCCAATTATCCTACATTATTAATTGTTCCTGATATTCGACATGATTTCACCATTCCTCTTCAACTTCTTCTCTTCTTTTCGTGGGATCCCTATATTTTCAACCAGCTTTCATCCATGGGATTCGATCTCGAACTCTGCAATTCCATGAAGGAACGCATCATCAGTTCTCTTTCTGGTTTGATTATTGCATATGGCGAGAGTCCTGGGTTTCAAGTCATTGTGCATTTGAGGATCACCACCACGCTCAGGTTGGGTTCTGCACAATCGATAGACGATCTGATGATGAATCTATTAGCCACAAATGGGGCGATTATCGTGAACGATGATGGTAGTATTGGAACTGTAGAGACGATAGCCACAAATGGGGCAATTATCGTAAATGATGATGGTGGTCTTAGAACTGAAGAGACGATGAGGACAAGGACGGGGAGGGGCGTTTCAAAGGCTGTCATTTATGGGTTGAAGAAAGTGACAGTGTTCAATGGTGAAGGAGACGATGAAAAGTGCACTACTTGTGCTGTTTGTTTAGAGGAATTTGGGAATGGAACGGAGCTTACTCCCAAGCCATGTTATCATCTTTTTCATCATCGCTGCATTGTGCCCTGGTTGGAATCACATAATTCTTGTCCTATATGCCGATCCATAGTTCCAGATTAATAATATTTTTATGATGATCATATATGGTGTTATAACCTGGTCATCATAATATTATTGGTTTCAGATTTGATAGTATTGATTGATTCTTGAAAACTATCGTATTAGGTTCATTATTAGGATTTAAGTTTGATTTTTCTTTTTATTGTTAATTGTTTTCAAATTTCCTTTTCGTACAGGTTTTCTAATTACGTAAAAGATTTGTGGTATTCCCTTGTTTTGTTAGTTTAATTATTTTTGTGTGAGAATACATTTAACAAGAGAACAAACGAATACATGGAAAACTCAAAATTTAGTCAATAAGATTGTTAAAAAAAAAAAAAAAATCTATATATTCAAAATCAGTAAATATAATTTTATTCCCTAAGAAAACAAGATTCAGGTATGTCGTTTTAGTCTTGTTTTCTTGATGATATACATGGTAGATGATCCGAAACAAAGTTTCATGTTCTGAAATTTATATTTACATTTAACACAAAAAAATCAAAAGTTATTATAGAAAAGAAGTCAAAAAATTAACTTTTTATCAACTTCTCAAAACACCACTCAATACCAAAATCATTAACAAAATCAGTCCATGTTGTGCTCAAATTTTTTTAATAAAAATAATAGTAATGTAAGAAAAATTACAGCAAAAAAAAAAAGCTAATCATTCTAACAAAAGAAACTTTGAATTTTTAATTTTATAAATTTAAACTCTAATGTTTTTAATCTAAATCATAATTCTATTTTCGTTAAGTAAAATCCACCGAAAATGATATTTTAATCATTAAATTTAATGTAAGTATATATTAAAAATCTAAAATACTCTTTTTTGTTGGTAAAATAGGCAGATGATTTATATTGAAAACATTAGAAAATAAATTGACAAAATTAAAATTTTAAATTTTATTTTGTACAAGGTTCAAACTTTGGGCCTTTTTTTTTTTTTGTAATTTTTCATGAAATATATAACCATATGAAGAAAAAAAAAAAACGGTGGATGGTAAGTTAAGAGATTACTCCCCTAAATTGGACCTTGTCCACTGGTCCAATTGGTAAATTCGAGGGAAATCTCACCCTATCATTTTTCATATGCTTATTTTATTACTAACCAATGGGATCAACGACAAATTATTTCTCATCATTTTTGTGTTTTTTTAAAGAACACCTCAATTTTAAAAATAGTAACTTCCTTACACTATAAGAAAAAGTTGAATTTGCGACTAAAAATAGAATTTTCGTCCTTGAAAGTAGTACAATTGACGACTAAAATAGAATTAGTAGCCAAAAGTTAAAACAGTTTAGTAGCCAAATGTGTAGTTATTGGCGATTAAAAATTAGTTTAGTCGTTGATTATATGGGCTTTAGCGACTAAAAAAATTTTAGTAGCCAAAAATGAAGGTTTTTGGCAACTAAAAAAATTTAGTAGCCAAAAGAATAGGTTTTGGCGCCTAAAAAATAGTTTGGTCGCCGATTATACGTGTTTGACCGACAAAAATAAATTTTCTAGCCAAAAGTGAAGGTTTTTGGCTACTAAAAAAAATTCAGTAGCTAAAAGTATACAATTGGCGACCAAAATTCAGTTTAGTCGGCAAAAGTAGAGGTTTTGGCGACTAAAAATAAGTTTAGTCGCCAAAAGTGTTTATTTTTAGGCGGGAATTAATTTTTTTTAGCGACTAAAAAATAATTAGTAGCCAAAACTATAGAATTGGCAACTAAAAAACAGATTTAGTCGCCAAAAGTGCTCTCATGTTTTTTTTAGTAAATAATTTATTTTTTACATAAATTATATTGAATAAAAATAATTATGTTTATATATATAGTTTTATATTAATACGGGTCAATATAGTATATAAATAATATATGTTGCATATTCATGTGGTGTTGTAGTGGCATAGTGGAGAGAGTGTTTTGATAAAGGTTTAGAATGTGGGAGGTTGGTGGTTCAAATCTCAGAAAAACAAAAAAGTTAGTATTTTTTTTTTCACGGAACAACCTTTGACGACTAAAATTATTGATCTCTAAAAGTGTTTCTTTTGGCGACTAAACGGTTTGGTCGGCAATTCATTGACTATTGGCGACTAAAAGATTAGTCGTTAAATGTATAATTTTAAAAAGTATAATTGACTATTGGCGACCAAAACTTTGGTCGCTAAAGACCTATTTTTTTCCGACTAAAATTTTTTTGTCGCCAATACCTTCCCCGATCGTGTTTTCGCGACAAAACCGACGACTAAAAAATTTAGTCGGGGAAACTAAAAAGTTGACTTTTGGCGACCAAAAATGGACTTTTGGCGACTAAAAATTTAGTTGCCGAAGGTGCTTTTTCTTGTAGTGTTAGTATAGAATTTTTCTACTTGTTTTGTAATTTCAGGTACATGCAGTACGTTGTTGAGGGTCAATTCTTTCCCTGATGTCACCTTCAAGATCACTTTTTCTTGTCCAGACACAGTAGAAGTAGAAGAATTTCCTATGAAAAGTTGTTCACCATTTGCAGCCTCATTGTAGGTAGCGAACATCTTCTTGTCCGTACAAATATGACAAGTTTCCCCAGTGTCAACCTACCATTCCTTGGGATTTCCAACCAAATTAGCCTCAGACACCACAGTAGAGAGGTTGATGTCATTCACCCCGTCAGAGATGTAATCTAGTTTAGTTACATTGGCCTGATTGGTAGTCTTCTTGCTGGTACTTCCATGATCCTTCTTAGGGCGGCGGCAGTCAGAAGTTCGATGTCCAGTCTTGCCACAGTTATAGCATTTTCCTTTGAACTTCTTGTTCCTATCGCCTTGTTTAGGACCATCTCCAGTAAACTTCCTCTTTTTGTTATGTGGTTTATGAACTTGTTCAACCATATTAGCCTTGGACTCAATGGGATTTTTCCCATTCCTCTTTTCAGCCTTTCGGTTATCCTCCTCAATTCTTAACCTTATAATAAGTTCATCCATGGTCATCTCTTTGCGTTTATGTTTTAAATAATTTTTGAAATCTTTCCAAACTGGTGGTAACTTTTCTACTAAAGCAGCGACTTGGAAAGACTCGCTTAGAAACATATCCTCAGAATGAATATCATGTAAAATTAATTGAAAACTTTGAACTTGAGAAATTACCATTTGGGAGTCTACCATAACAAAGTCCAGAAATTTACGACAACAAATTTCTTCGTGCCGGCATCCTCTATCTTGTATTTCTTCTCCAAAGAATCCCATAATTCTTTTGCTGACTTCAGAGGACTGCAAACATTATATAGCATGTTGTCAAGGCCATTGAGGATGTAATTTCTGCACAGGAAATCTAAATGTTTCTAAGCATCTACAGCGGCAACAACTTGCCGATCACTTTCACCCTCTTTAAGTGCTGGAGCCTCTTCATGGAGAAACCTGGCCAAATTTAGAGTTGTAAGATAGAACAACATCTTTTGCTGCCATCTCTTAAACTCAATACCGTTAAATTTTTTCGATTTTTCTCCATGATTTATTGGTACATGAACATGGTTCTGGATAGGAAACGATGTTGGTGTAACAATTGGAGTACCACTTCCAATTACAGTTACAGTTGTAGTAGCCATAATCTCTTATAACAAAAATCAGAAAAATTAAAACACAAATTAATTTTCTAGTTACTAAAACCAAAAAATAAATTATAACACAAAATAATTTTATTTTCCTTGTTACTAAAATTAGAAAAATAAAATACCATAATAATTTTATGTAACACAAATTAATATTCTGCAATTGTTAATGACACCTGTATATTACTACTAGTTGTCAAAGAAAAGAGACAGTATATTACTACTATCTGTCAAATAGCATAAACTACTATTTGTTTTTTCAACCAGAATATGTCTTTATGTAATCACAGAAAATTAAATATAATGAAGATACCAAAAATATTCTGTCTTAAGATTGTCGGAAAATCTTCATTGTAATTAAATTAATTAATTCTGTTTGTGTACTTAACAACAGACAGTATACAAAAAGAAATAAAGGGAAGGAGAGAAAAATGTTTGATTACAAAAATCAAACTAGAAACAGAATTAAATAAATAAAAACAAATTTTATTTTGTTACAAAAACAAAATTAAAATCTGATTTAAATAAATAATAAAACAGAAAATAAATTAATAACTTACTTGATCAATATCTTGAATATTATTCTGATCAAGTCTAATGTTTGACACTGTGTCCTTAAGACAGATTCGTCCTCTCCGCGGTGCTTTTAGAATATGGACGTCTATCTCCCAAGATGAAATGATCAACAACAAATATATGCAACACTACAATATATTTGTACAACAAACACACTAAGTGCTTTATACTCTCTCACACAAGAAAATAATGCAGCAAAATGAAGAGTATGAATACAGAATTTTATGGACGAAAATTAGTGAATCTGATCAAATGAGGGCTGATCCATTTATAGATGTAGTGGTGGCTATTGATTTTGAATTAAACAGGTGCTAACCTGTTTTGAACAGGTATGAAACCTGTTTGGTTTTGAATTAAACAGATTTAAGTCTATTGGGTTCAAAATTCAAACAGATAAAAACGGAAGGGACCTGTTTGAGTGTACAGAAAAATCGAACCAGTTTATTTCCGGAATTAATTTGAATTCTAGATATTGATTTACCAAAAAATAAAATTAAATTCAAATGTTTTTGGCCCAAAAAGATAGGTATTGGGCCTGACAAGCCCAACTCAACCTCACACCACGCACTCGCGTCCAAGCCCAGCCCAGCCTAGCTCGCCCGACCGACCGACCGACCGGACGGACGACAGCGGCGGTGCGCGCGTTTGTGTGGTGATTTTAGGTCCAATGGGTCTAGCCCATTTTGCCTATAACCTCTCCCTTCTACAAACTTGGGGTGCCCCTTGGGGCCCTCCAAAAGTTATAATTTCAAGCTATATAAACCCATACAAAACTTCCCATCAAATCAATGTGGGACAAGCCATTTACACAAACTTTAAGGAATTTCCACCAAAACTCCATTTCCATGGAACACACTTTGGCTTCAATTTTCCA